TATGTGACCTTTTTTTTTTTTTTTTTTTTGTACTGGGATCAAACTCAGGCCTGCAAGGCAGGCGGCAGCACCACTGAGCTAATCCCCGGCCCATGCCCGGGGTAGTATAACCCCGCATACACACTGCTTATAAGACATCAGAACCTTCGTGGATCACCCACGAGGCTGCAGCAGTCCTTATGCTGTCCTTATTGCCATTCACAGTTGAGGAAATAGACTCAGGAAAAAGAAAGAAAAGGCATTAGTCGAGAATCGCTGAGCTGCTGAGCACGGGTGTGGTCCGTGTCTGGCCCTGAACCCGGGAGCTGAGCGCAGCCCCGCCACAGGTGGGGACCATCTGAGCATGCGCCGTGACCCGTGGGCCGGAAGCGGCTCCTCCAGCTGGGGACTTGATTTGGGTCCTGGCTTCTTCTGCGGGTCACAGATCCACTTCCCTGAGGTCCAGAGCCCGAGCCTCAGCACCGAGACTATCTCAGGATGTACTGATACGGGTCACTGGTGTATCAAAGTCAGGGGGACCTGGAGGGGGGCCAGCGGGAGCCCCAAGGTCCAGCCCGGTGCTCAGAGCTCACCCTTGCAGGCGGCAGCTGGCCAAGCTGGCCCTCATTTTCAGCCACATGCACGCGGAGCTGGGTGCGCTCTTCCCCCGGGGAAGGTACTGCGGGCACAGGTACCAGCTCACCAAGGCCGCGGCCCATGACTTCTGGAGGGAGCGCTGTGGTGCCCGGTGAGTGGCGCACCCTGCCCGGACCTGGGGTGCAGGTGCCCAGGGGTGCAGGGGATCCACAAGGGCCCCCCGGGCTCAGCCAACTCATCCCGCCCAACTCCACAGCTGTGTGCTGCCCTGGGCCGAGTTCCAGTCACTGCTGAGCACCTGCCACCCCGTGGAACCTGGTGCCACCGCCCAGGCCCTGCGCTCCACCATCGACCTCACCTGCAGCGGCCACATATCCGTCTTCGAGTTTGACATCTTCACCAGGCTCTTCCAGGTCAGGGAAGAGCCTAGAACTGAGGGAGGAGGCCGGGCCTGGATTCTGGGGCCAAGGGCGGAGTCGGGGCCTGGGACGAAAGTGTCTCGGGACCTTCGTGTGGACATTTCCGAGACCCGCTAGGGCTGTGAGCATAAGGCTGGTTCTTGGCCCCGGGAGGCACCAGCACGGTGGACCTCCACTTGGTCCCTCCCTGACGCCAACCTCACTCCCCAGCCCTGGCCGACATTGCTGAAGAACTGGCAGCTCCTGGCCGTCAACCACCCAGGCTACATGGCCTTCCTGACGTATGATGAGGTGCAGGCATGCCTGCAGGCCTGCAGAGACAAACCAGGCAGGTAACTGGCGGGGGCGCCTCAGGGTCTGGGCTGGCCCACGTGGGAGGGGCTGGGAGACGAGGGCTGAGGCTCCCCGGGCCTCCGAGAGGGGAGATTCCAGCAGAAGGCCCAGGGCCCTCTCCACAGCTCCCCTCTCACTCCACAGTCCAGCAGTTGCACAACACCTGGCCTGGCAGGGCCCTGAATATCACCTGGGGGTGGGGTCCATTTCCGATGGGTCAGAGCCCAGGCTGAAGCATGTGGATATGTTGTTGGCACAGGTGACTGGGAAACCAGTTACCTAAATCCTTAAGTTATTTCAAACCAGGAGTTTTGAATTGTTCCCCCAACACACACACACACACACACACACACACACACAACGCCCAGGCTCAAAACTGAAGAGCTGAGCTACGTAGAACATGAAAAAGTTAAGAGCAGAAGGTAAAGTTGGTGATCACGGGAGCCTAGGAAGGCGAATGTGTTAGACTGTTCCGGCTCTTTCCGTTAACGTCAAACCTAGTTAAGGGAAAAGAAAAAGGAATGAAATTCCTATAATTGAAAAACCCAGAGTGTGGGTTGCAGGCACAGGGGGATCTGGGAGTCCAAGTCCTACTTGTCAGGTATCTGTTTCTGTTCCTACCCGTTCTGTGTTCCTGTGTCGGCATTGTCCTCAGGCGTGGCCTGTCCTCTTGGTGGCAAATGGCTTTTAGAAGCTGCTATTTAGCATCCTCTGTAGAACAGAGGTGATCTTGTTCTGATCCTTCTAGCAAAAGCCCCAGAACCAACTCTCACTCCCGAGGTCAGGGTCCCTGAAATGCCCTGATCAGCCAGGTCACTGTCAGCTTCCTAGATGTCAGATGTGCCACGGTCCAGGTCTCACAACATAGAGGAATGAAGTTGAGAACCAAAGGCGGATGGGAGAGTTCTACTGGAAATAATAAGAATAGCTCCTGGGTTTCCGCCGAGGCTCTTTGTCCGCGGTAATTTATACCACGGAGTCACAGAGTGGGTACCACGGGGATCAAACTGCCATCGGCCTGCAGGATCACAAGTACAGTCATTCCACTGCTGTGGGTCTGGCGGAGAAACAGGGCAGGAGGGAGAGTGTGTGGTGAGCGCCATGACCACAGCTCATCTAGAACGTGTGCGGTGGGAGGAACGAAGGCGTTCCTGAGAGGACTGAGCAGGGCCCGATTTTCTGCTCCCCGCCCAGGCACCCAGTGCCTGTCTGGGCCCTGCAGGCCGGCAGTGCTGATCTCCGTTCAGCCCCGGGCTGCCTGAGTCTCTGCAGGGAGACCTGTAGGCCTGGCCCTCTTGAAACCCGCCTCCAGCCGTGGTCTTGGTGTGTGTCATCCTCTGTGACTCCCTTGAGGGCCTGTCCCTCTCAGGCTGCCTGCTATCGGCTAACTTAGCGGTGTCCATCGGAAGGTCCCCCCCCCCCCCCCCCCCTCCAGCTACATCTTCCGGCCCAGCTGCACCCGCCTGGGGCAGTGGGCCATCGGGTACGTGAGCACGGACGGCAGCATCCTGCAGACCATCCCTCCCAACAGACCCCTGTTCCAGGTGCTCCTGGAAGGACAAAAGGACGGCAGGTGAGTCCCCATCCTGGCGGGGAGAGGGAGACGGCAAAATCCACCTGGTAACATCACGCAGAGGGCGCCACCATCTGCGATGCTGCATCTGTCCAGCAGGTGGCAGTCGAGGGTCGAAGCAGGGCACCTTTGTCGTTAATAAAGCTGTGGAATGGGCCGCTAGGGGTAGGTACGTGACACACAGTTCGAGGGTCGAAGCAGGGCACCTTTGTCGTTAATAAAGCTGTGGAATGGGCCGCTAGGGGTAGGATAGACAGGTAGGTACGTGACACACAGACAAACAGACAGACAGACGGCTCAATAGATGGCCCTGCTTCCCACTCACAGTAGTTATGTGTTCTGTTTGTTTGGTTTGGTTGAGACAGGGTCTCACTTTGTAGTGGTTCAGTCTGGCCTTGAACTAATTATGTATCCTGGCCTGGAATTTACAATCCTCCTGCCTCAGCCTCCCGAGTGTTGGTAGTACAGGTGTGCACCACCACATCCAGCTTCAGCACTATTCTTTGAAGCCATTTAAAGCAGCAAAAGCAGCCTCTCTCTGCCTGCATGGGGAGAATTTTATTTTATTTTTTGGTTTTTTGAGATAGGGTCTCGCTATGTAGTTCAGACTGACCTTGAATTCACTTTGTAGCCCAGGCTGGCTTGGAACTCACAGAGATCCTCCTGCCTCAGCCTCCCAAGTGCTGGGATTGTAGGTATGCACCACCATGCCCAGCTGGGGCAAATCTTAACTTGCCTGATCCACTGGTTCTCAGCCAAGGTGGAAGAGAACAACACATGAGTTCAGCTCTCACACCACAAGTGTCTGTTCAGTACCCTTTCCCCCATTCTTATGCTTTCTATTCCTGTGTGTGTGTGTGTGTGTGTGTGTGTGTGTGTGTTTGCGCACACGCATTGGGAGGTGGTACTGGCACGCTCTGCCACTGGGTGACATCCCCAGTTCTTTTTATTTTAGGGCAGAATTGTCCTATGTACCCCAGGCTGGGCTCCAACTTGAGATCCTCCTGCCTCAGCTTCTCAGAGTGCTGGGATTACAGGGATGGGCCACCAAGCCCGACTAAAGTGTTGTCTTTTTTTCTTTCCAGTGTGCTAAGCAATTTATATTTAATATTCTAGTTAGTTCTCATTACAAAACTGATGGTTACAAAAAAATTACACCTTGAAATGATGAAATTAAAGCTCATAAATGTTAAATAATTGGTCAGGGGTCAGTTGCCTAGCTGGTGAGTCAATCCTGCTGAAGGAGTTCACAATGCTTCCATTTATTAATCTACTCAGTGTACATTGATCATGTATTATTTATTGTGCATTGTGCCAATTTCTGAAATACAGGAAGGAGTAGAACAAGCGTAATGCAGGTCTTCACAGGCTTATAGTCCGGAGCGATACAAATGCTTCTAAAAACATAATAGCGTGAGTAACCAGTTCAGATTTGTCAAAGTGATAGCATAAGGACAAATCCTGACCGCAGATATATTCATTCGTTGTGCACAGTACTGACCTGAACAGTGTTTTTATGAAATTAAATATTAAATTTGTAAATGAAAAGATTTCACCCTTAAACACTTTCTTAGAGAGTTTGACTACTGGAATACAATCCGCTCACTTGAAGGTCTAAACAACAGAAATGTACTCATCCCAGTTCTGGGGGTTGAGAAATCAGTCTAAGCTCAAGATGCTGGTAGATATGGTGGCTGCCGAAGACCTCCTCCCGGACTGCAGACGGTCTTCCCAGTGTCTGCTCGGGCGGCGAGAGGAGACCAGGGCTCGCGGAGGAGTCCCTGTAGTAGGGAGACTGGTCCCATCCGGGACAGTGCCACTTTCCCAAGGTCCACCTCCAAATTCCATCACATCCGAGGGTCCGGCAAACACGAACACTCATCCCAAACACACACCCGCCGAGAGACAGAGAGGTCTGCAAGGAAGTAACCGCCTAGGGCACAGGAAGTCGTCCTTTGGTGGTCAACTCCAGCTGCTCTAACTCGGGCTCTCTCCCACTTTACTCATTAACTGAATTCTCCAGGCCCTGTGGGCACTCGGGCTATGATCCCTCATCTGAGTATAGATTTGGTGACTGTTGGCCTCGGGGAAGATTAGTTAAAATTATATATCAACAGTTTTTTAAAAAACACAAAACAGGGCCCGGGATTTAGCTCACTGGTTCCACCGCCTGCCTGGAAAGCGCGAGGTCTTGAGTTGCATCCCTGGTAGCAAACAAAACAAAACAAAACATTAGTTTAGCAAAATCCTAACATGAATCCTCACCCCCATTGAGTTTGGCTGGGACCAGTGGGTGAGCTTTGCTTCTCTAATGGAGTTAGGTGATGTGGCCGAGGGAAAGTGTGTTTCAGGTGTCATTAGAGCCCTAATCAGTGGTTTTAATTTACTCAGAAAAGGGATTTTTCTCCACAGGGCCAGGGGATGCCCTTGAAAGATGGCCCAGGGGCTGGGTGTGGTGTCACAACCTGTAGTCCCAGCACTCGGGAGGCTGAGGCAGGAGGATGCCATGAGTACAAGACCAGCCTGGGCTACATGATGAGTTCAGGGCCAGCTTGAACTCCAAAGGCAGACACTGCCTCAAAAATAAAGATGGCCCAGGGGAAGCATAAACAGCAGAGTTGCTTCCCTGCTGGCCTTAAAGAAATGCCCATGTGGGGGGAGCACCCCGCGGCGGGGGACGTGGGTGCCTTCTGAGATCCTCCATCCTAAACCCCGCAGGAAATGAAACCAGTGAGCTGGAAGGGTACCCGGCCTGGGGTGCGACTGTATCCCAGGTTTGACCTTACCTGGAACCTTGAGGGCAGCATCCTGCACCCCCGGAAGCGCTGTGGGGATTGGACTCACAGCACTGGAAAGCACACAGGTGTGGGAGGGAGAAAGCAGTGTTCGGAAAGATCCCCGCGGGGAAGTGGGCGGAACGGGCGGCTGTGCTAGGACAGAAGACCGAGCTTCAGGGCCCTCAGCCCCCAGTGGGTTTATTATCCCCAGACATTGGGAGGCTTCCTTAAGAGGGTTTTGATTTTAGGGTGGGCACCCTCTGCCTGCTGTAGAGCTCTGTCTTCTTTGCCCTGCTCTAGCAGCCTTTACCTTGGGCGCGATCGTGTTCACTTTACAGGAGAAACTGAGGCCAGCTTGTGTCACACAATGCGACAGTCGCCGCAGGGCCCCAGCCAGGCATCCTGTGCTGTTTACAGCAGTCGCCTTTGCCCTGCAAAGCAAGAAGTGGTATGAAAGGTCTGGGGAGACCTTCCAGGGCTGGGAGCCTAAAATTCAAGAACTCAGTCGCTGCGACAATCTGTCCAGGCCTAAAGAAGAAAAGTGGAATCCTAGCACGGTGTGGTGGCACAGACCTATAATCCCAGCACTCTGGGAGGCTGAGGCAGAAAGATCACATATGCAAACACAAGTAGGCAATTTAGCAAGATCCTGTCTCAAAATATTTAAAGAGCCAGGCATAGTGGCGCACGCCTGTTATCCCTGCACTCAAAAGGCTGAGGCAGGAGGATCAGGCCAGCCTGGGTTGCATCTTGAGTTCAAGGCCAACCTGCCCTACAAAGCCAGTCCTGTTTTTTTTTAAAAAATGTTTTTTTTAAACATAAAGGGTGGTGGTGTCACTCAGTACAGAGACTCTGGTTCCCGGCTGCCTGCTTCCGTCTCCTGGCCCACAGCCTGCCCGAGCCCCCAAGAGCTGGTCACTGAGGCTTCATGGGGTCCTGGGGGGTGTCCGGGGACCCCTCCCTGAGCAGACCCAGGTGAGGCAGGGAACGGGGAGATCACCACAGGCCAGTGGTGGGTTCCAGCAGGTCCCTAATCCCAGGGCCACTGTGCCGAGTCCTTGCCACTGGAGGGCTGCCTCTTAGACCCATCTCCCTCCCGCAGCTTCTGCTACCCAGACGGGAAGAACCACAACCCAGACCTGACAGAGCTCTGCCAGGCAGAACCTCACCAACGCATCCATGTGTCAAAGGTGAGACCCAGGAGCCCGGCACAGCGGCACACCCCTGGGATCCCAGCACTCAGGAGGCTGAGGCAGGAGGATCGCCACAAGTTTGAGGCCAGCCTGGACTACATAGGGAGACCTTGTCTCAAAAAAAAAAAAAAAGAAAAGAAAAGAAAAAAGAAAAGAAAAGAAAAGAAAAAAAAAGAAACCTTCTAACCTTGGCCCAGAGTCCATGGTGGGCAGTGCTGGCTGGGCGGCTGTGTGACCTCGGGTCGATCCCTTGGCCTCTCTGAGGCCCAGTTCGTCCTCGGGAAACTGCAGCTCTTCCTGCCTCCCTGCGGGGTTATCACAGGGCTTAGAAGAGGAAGTGGTGCTGCTGAGATCATCAGAGCAGCGAGTGCACTTGAGCGCTTGCCAGGGAGAGATTCTATTCACTGCTTATTGGAAATTGTTTTTATACTTACAAGGGATGGAATCCAGGACCTTCACACCAGGCTACAGCCCCAGCCTTTTAAAAAATCTTTTGAGAGACAGACTCTCGCTAAGTCACTGCGTTCAGGCTGGACTCGGACTTGCAGTCCTCCTGCCTCAGCCTCGCAGAGTGTGGGGTGTCAGGTGTGCACCACCACTCAAAACTCAGAGTTTTATAGGGAAGCCCACATCTTTGTTTGCTGGCTCTGGTAGCCCCAAAAGTAGACCACCCAGGGAGAAGACAGTCAGTGAGGACCTGCGGGCAGCCCTGTGCTGGGAGAGGGTCGGTGGCTGGGGCAGCGGCTTCCTGTGCTGCCCGCCGCCCACCCCTGCCTTTGTCCTTGTGCTGCCCACTTGCTGCCAGGAGCAGCTGCAGCTGTACTGGGCCATGGACTCCTCCTTCGAGCTGTGTAAGATCTGCGCGGAGAGGAACAAGGACGTGCAGATTGAGCCGTGCGGACACCTTCTCTGCAGCCACTGCCTGGCTGCCTGGCAGGTGGGCCCCTGCCCTGCCTCCTCGCCCTGGATCCCCCCTCCACAATAAAAGGCCCAACAGGATCTCCCTTGGGCCTCGCGCCTCAGATGGAGAAACTGAGGCCCGGAGAGCAGATACCTGCTGGGAATCAGCAGGCCCTGTGTCTGTGCCTCCGTTTCCATCTCGCCCGGCCAACACAGCAGTGGACAGGGTGATGTGAAGTTGGGTACTGTGCCTCGCTGAGCCATGGCCTCCTCCTCTTAGAACGAGACTAAGGGTGGGAGGCTCTAGGGGCAGGTGAGGGGCTATGTGGGCCCCTCCTGGGCCGCCCTCGCCACGTCACTGGTGGAGGTGATGTCCCGGAGTCCAGGAACATGGCGGAGGCAGGGAGATGCCGACCTCTTCCCTCCCCTCCACCCAGCACCAGGACAGCCAGACCTGCCCCTTCTGCCGCAGCGAGATCAAGGGCCGAGAGGCCGTGAGCATCTATTGGCTCTCAGGGGAGACAGCGGAGGGTGGGGCCGCTGCTGTGGACACGGAGGACAGCGGTGACCAAGAGGATGTGGAGCTGGAGCAGGTAGGGAGGGCCGCCGGGTCTGAGGGAGGAGGCGGGGCCTGGACCCCCGGGTCTGAGGGAAGAGGCTGGGCCTGGACCCCCGGGTCTGAGGGAGGAGGACTAGGACAGGAATCCTGTGTGTCAGAGGCCTGGACATTTTCCTACCCAGGCATCTGGAGTGGCTTTCTCTGGCTATTACCGTCCAGTGGCTGGGACTATCTTTTCTCTGTCATGTCTGTACCTGGAACGGTGCTGTGTTTCCTCCAGGCAGAGGCTGGAGTGGACAAGAAGAACGTGGCACTCACTGAGCTCACATCTTTCTCTCTAGGTGGCCCCCTATGCTCCCCCTCTCCCCCCTCGGCTAGATCTGCCCCCCAGGAGACCCAGAAGTGAATGCCAGCTGGAGGTGGTGAGTGGCATCACCTGAGGTGGGCAGTTGGGTGTCACATAGTTCCAGGCTCCCTGGTGTGGCCCTAGGCTCAGGGGTACCCAGGGGCCCTCATTCTCGACCCCATGTGCAAGGCATGGTGCAGTCTGGTAGCCACTCCCTGACTGCTCCTCTATTTTGTTCTTACTCTTGTTTACTTCCTTGCTCTCCTCCAAGCATCCCAGGTACATCCTACCCCAGGGCCTTTGCACCTGCTGCTCTCTTGGCCTTGGCCTCCTTTCCTCACTCACATTTCTCCCTCCTCTCGGGGACAGTTTCCCTGAGCACCTATTAAGAAGAGCAGCCATGTCCCTCAGCTCCTGCCCCACCAAGTATCCATTGTCCCTTTCCCAAGGCCATGGAGTGTATTTTCTTTGTTGTTGTGTTTGAGATCAGCTCTCTCTGTGTAGCGCGGCTGGCCTTAAACTTGTAGTGATCGTCCTGCTTCTGCCTCCCAAGTGCTGAGATTACAGATGTGCACCACCGCGCTCAGTGTGTCCAGTATTTTCTGTCACTGTCAGCTGGTCCCAACCCTCTCTGGGTCAAGACCATGTCTCACTCTCCAGAGTCCACAGTACACGGCACCCACAGTTAGCCAGGGCACTGGGTAAATAAACTGGGCTGCATCTTCCCCACAGCCCCGGGGGAAAAGCTTCAGAGAGGTGGGTACAGCACCAAAGGCCACGCAGCCCGAACAAGAACAAACCAGCATCAGTGCTTTTAAGGCACCCAAGATATCTGTTGGGGTTTTGACCGGTTTTTTTTGGAGGGTTTTTTTTTTTTTCCAGTTTGTTTTGGTTTTTTGCAGTACTGAGGAATGAAACCCAGAACCTCGAGACTTGGAGGGAAGTGCTTTGCTCTTGAACTACAGTCCCATCTCTGTTTGCATCTCTCTTTGTTTATTTAGAGTTTTGTTATTATTATTTTATTTTCTCAGTGCTCGGGGTTGAATCCTGGGTCTTTTCATTACATTCCCTTCCCTTTTTTTTTCTTTCTTTTTTTTTTTTTCTTATTGTTTGAGACAAGGTCTTGCTAAGTCTCTTAATTGTGCAGGTTGGACTCAAACTTGGAATCCTCCTGCCTCAGTCTCCCACACTCTTGGTATGGGGTGTGCACCACACCATTCTGCTACTTGTTTTGGCCTTTTGTTTGATGTTATTTTGAGACAGGATCTTGCTGGCCTTGAACTCAGAGCGATCTTCCTGCCTCAGCCTCCGGAGTGCTGGGACTACAGGTGCCCAGCACCACACCCAGCCATCTGCTTATGTTTCAAATGCACTCTGCCCGTGCTTTCTTCTCCCCCCTCTTGCCATTCTTTGATTTTTCTGAGCTCAAGAGGCAGATCTGTTAGGCTCTTGAGCTCAGTACATGGCAGCTTTAATCAATACTGAGCAAACCTCAAACAAACAGCTCAGGAAGTCCGGCAACGTTATTGGACCGCAGCAAACAAGAGAGCCAGCAGGAAAGGGGGGGCGTGGAGACTGGCGAGGGAGGCTAAAAACAGATCCTGCCGACCTGCAGCCAAAAGCAAATGGAAACATTAGGAGCACTCAGCTGGCTCCCCGAGGACAATGAGGGGACACAGCCAGCGGGCGGACTGACGGGCACCTCCGGCCGGACGGGGGCACCTCTGCCCGGGCCGGCCCGCACCCCCACGCCCTCCCCACCTTTCCCGGACCCTGCCAGCCTCAAATGCCCGGCACCTCCTCCTCTCACTAAACCCACTGCAGTGGGGACAGTGGGCTTCACTGCTGCTACCTCCCAGCGAGGCGCTGTTCCCACAGAGCAGTCCATCTGTGTGTGATGTTTGCTCTGTGCTTGGTGGCACTAGTTTTTTCTTTCTTTCTTTTTCTTTTTGGTACTGGGTATCGAACTCAGGTCCTTGTGCTTGCCAGGCAGGCGGCGGAACCACTGAGCCAAATCCCTGACCCTCTTTCTTTCTTCTTTTTTTTTTT